CCATATCCCTGGAGTGTTTACATACACACGATAACCGGGCACGTAGCCTCAGGGTCTACGTACACGGTAACCGAGCACGTAGCCTCAGTGTCTACGAACACGGTAAACGACAACCGGGCGTGTAGTCTCAAATGTCACACACACGGTAACCGGGCGAGTAGCCTCAATATCTACGTACACGGTAACCGGCAGTGTAGTCTCAATGTCACACACATGGTACATGTAACCGGGCGCGTGGCCTCAATATCTACATACACGGTAAACGGAAACCGGGCGTGTAGCCTCAATATCTACGTATACGGTAACCGGGCGCGTAGCCTCAATATCTACGTACACGGTAACCGGCAACCAGGCGTCTAGTCTCAATGTCACATATACGGTAACCGGGCACGTAGCCTCAATATCTCCCCTCCCCATATCCCCGAGTGCGTCTCTTGAAAATATCAATAATCTCCCCCCATTCCTGAGTCCTGTACTTCGAAGCGCTCAGAACACGCGCAGGTTCATTGACCGGTCACAATGGCGAGCCCGACAAGACGCTTGTATAACTTTCTTTTCTTTATGTTGCCCCCCTGACAGTGACAAATATTGATTTATTTTCATGGCGACACCACGTTTGTAATGCCGAACCTTCATGTTACAATAATTGTTGCGTTATCAGACTATTACTGACAAATTTCTAGGTGGTAAAGAAAGCGAAAGTAAAAGCTTACTGGACGCTCTGTTATGAAATTTAGTGGGTATCATGCTGGACTATAGAGCGGTTGACCCTAGTGCGTCCTCGTCGAAAAAGCGCAAACTTTGCGAACAGAGTTACCCTACTTGTGTGAAAAACAATAAAAGTGACACTCTTTTTGGCTGAGTGAACTATCTCTTGGACCCTCCGGTTACCGTGTACGTAGACCCTGAGGCTGCATGCCCGGTTACCGTGTATGTAGACTCTGAGGCTACGCGCCCGGTTACCGTGTACGTAGACACTCCATTTCCATATTTTTATTAGGTCAGGCCCCCCTCTACCCTCCACCTCAATATTTTATTAGGTCCCCCCCCCCCCCCCCTACTCTTGACTTTAGCTAACGAAACTACAAAATCTCCGAGAATAACAATATAGAATCTAATATTATTCCCGGGTGAGAAATGGATATTAGATGTCTATATTTTTATTTTCACCGCGGGTGAGAATAATGACATCCTTAATAATTATTATTGTCATCATAGGCCTAGATCTGGCACTCCTGTACAATTGCGGGTGCTTTTTCGGTAGTTCCCACCCTCCTTATTTGAGCCTAGATCTACATCGAGATCTATACGTTTGATGCGAGGCGAGCTAAGATATCAAACCTAACAACTGCGAAACATCAAATTATGGTAAAATTCAGAAACCCCCACCTTAGTTTTGTCAGGTCGGGGGGGCTAGCCCCCCTGAAACCCCCCCTACTCTTGAGGCCAAACCCGGCGAATAACAATTGCGGGGTGGGAACTACCGAAAAAGCGCCCAATTGCGGTCCCGTTTAGGGATACTTGCTTTGACCCCACCAACGATTACTTCTGGTTCTAAACGATTACTTTTTGATACGCCTGCCGATAGGCCTATGGAGAGATAGCCAATCAAACCTAATTGCAAAACATCAATTAAAGTCTTCCGTAACGTGTGACCACCCCAACAAACACTACACAGACACAACAAAAAAGTGAGGACGGCGATTGTTAAGATTCCCGCATTTGATTCCGATGTGTGTTTTTCATAGCCTCGGCTGGCATGTTTCGCTTTGGTCCCTAACTCTGACCCTAACACCTAATCTTACCCCAACCCTGACCTTGAAAACGCAATCGGAATGAAACGCGGGAATCTCAACAATCGCCAGGAAGAGACCTAACACTTTAGAACCCTCACTAACCCTAACCCTAACCCTACCCAGTGGCGGTGGGGGGATCAAAATTTGTGTGTGGCTTAGGTTGTTTCCACTTCTTTACCGCCAAATAGTAAGCAATAAGAACTAAACAGTGATGATTTTTCTATACTCACGGTAAGACTCGGCATTTTGAGAACCATTCAAACGAGAAGAGTTGTAATACCTTTGTTTTCCATCTCTTTGTTCTTAGAGTTAAATTCTTGTTAATGATGGGGACGAAGCCGCTTCACCTCCAAATTTCCTTTAATTAATGTTCATGTGATGAAAAAGTTGCCTTAATAGTTCGACCTGATTTATACTGTTAAAATCTCAGTGGCACAAACTCAAAATGTACCCATAGCACTTCAAACATATTACTTCCATGAGCTGGATTAGGCTGTGTAGTCGAGAAAGATGAACGCACCTAACAAAGAACCATTGAGCGCATAGGTATCTGTGTCAGTGGGGAAAAGTGTGTCATAAACTTTCACCCCATTGTCAAGGCTAGGAGAGCGTGAGCCCTCAGTACAGTGTTCTTTTTTTCCAAGTCTTTACCTTTGTTTCATTAAGGATGGCCGTGGGAAAGGGCTCATCCTTTGCTAAGCCCTAAAGACATTTGATTGGCTGCTGGGTTACTACAGTTGTAAGTGGTGACAAGAGTGATTGGATAAAGGAGCAAGCCACCAGGTTGATCAGTCTGTGTTCATTGCGTGTGGTCATAACAGTTTCAACTGATTTCATTATTATGGAGAAACTTTCATTTACTTTGGGATAGAGTTGGGGTGGTGGGTGAGGAGGGGGGACGGGCTCAAGTCCATGAGTCCTTCACTACCCACCGCCACTGACCCTACCCCTACCTCTATTCTACTCAGTCTCATAGTGGTCGCTCGTTACAGAAGTCCCCCCTTAGAATGTTTCACTATGTAGTGGTATCTCTGGCAGTGCACCAAGACTCAAACTCAAGAGAGTTTACTTTATTCTTTGGCCCCCTATATTCTCACCCCTGGGGAGAATAGCTCTTGACCCAATATTCTCACCCCCACCCTGGTGTGGGCATGAGGCGAGGACTCACCCCTGACCTCTGGCAGACCGATAAAATCACCTAGGCTAGGCTGCCCTAGGTGGCTTACCTCATGTGGTTGAGAAATGACTCGAGTGTTTGGCGCTTGTTTACTTGTAGGCCAACTGCTGATTACCGTTGCCATAGCCTTAAGTTTTTTTATCAAATAGATTCTAGACTTCTTAAAATTAGGCTATAATTGTGAAATTATGTGAATACTGGTGGGTATCAGAAAGAAAAAAAAAAGTTCTGCTTTTGACATTTCGTTCTTGTAACCATAGCTCGTTTTTTTTTTCACTGTTGTTTGCTGTTCATGATGTGAAATGGCCTTCACCCAGCCCATTAAATAAACCAAACCTGAAACTTATCTAGGACTGCACAACTTATTTTCTGTGCTGTTCTGTGTGTGTCTGTGCTATAGGCCTACTGTATTTAAGTATTAGCACTCCTGTTTAGTTGATGGGCACATTCAAAGGCATGAGGGGGGTGAGAATAGCGAGACGCAGACTGTTCTCACCCCTGGTGAGGATAGCCACTTCTTTATTCTTTATAGATTAGATCTAGACCTAATTTATTTTTAATGTTTTTATAAACAGATTTTGGCTGAAGTTGAAGATTAGGTAAACCTATTTAAAACAATGGAGCCATGAATACCAGGTCATTATGAATTCAGTTAGGCAAGAATAAAAAGTTTCAAGAGTCAACAAGATATAATAATAGTGCATCAGTCATGGGGTTGGTAGTTGGAGGTTTTGCACTTTAAAAAGTATTTTTTTTCCTTTTTGATCCTTTTCTATTTTTCCCATGTCCGTTCGTGATTGGGCTGATGTGCTTCTTTTTACTCAAAAACAAACTCTCATGTATGTGATGAGTGGTCAAAATCATCTTAAGGGAACAGACTTGGCTTGAGACTATGAACGTGAACAGGATTTTAGATCACTGTAAGTACAATAACATTTTTTACCTCAGATCATAGCAGAAATAAGTTTAGTAACATAAGTAAAATCAATTTCTTTATTTTTCTTTACTTTCGACAGAAGCATTTTGAATACCTCGCTCACAATGCCTGGCAAGAGAAGTCGTCATTTGCAACTTCAAAAGGCGAGAGAATTGAGATGGGCAAGAGCAGCTGTGGCTAAACACTTGAAGGCAACTGAACCTGAGCCACCACCACCACCACCTTCAGGTAGCCTACCATTTTTTATTCGCTAAAATTCTTTTTTTTTTCTGTATATATACATGAATGCATTCCATGTGGGCCCAGTTGGTTGACAGTTTGTAAATTCAAGTGATACTCTGTCTGGGATCGGTTAAGAAATAAATAGTAATTTAAAACCAGCCTGGAGAAAAGACATAAATTCTTTAACTCTTTTCTGATTTGTTAGGTGGGAAAAAAGTTTCAGTATTCATTGTCTGGATGGTTGGAAGGTACCACAGGTAGGTTCTGCTTTTGTTCTTTCCTGCTGCAGCGACAGTTCCCGTCTGTCTGTCTTACTTTTTCCACACCACAAAATGATTATTATTGTGTCTGTGTGCTTCTCTTTATTTATATACTGATACAAACAAATAAACAGCTTTCCTTGTGCCATCATAACCCAAAAAGTAATAAATGGGTGACTTTATTTAGGCTATATGTGGCTCAAATGAGCACTTCCATCACAACGGCTATAGAGCTCAAATTTTAAAAAACTGTTAAACTAAGCTGGAGGCTTTCTGTTTTATGGGCCTTTCTTAAGTTCATGAGCTTGATTTTTTTCATTTTCTCCGCCTTCAGTGATAGGTCAAGGACACCCGGAGAAGCCAACAGCGAATCGGCAGAAAGACCAGACAACAAACGCGGGGAATAATGACTGTGTTAAGAGGTACTATTTGACTGTCTCTTGCGAGTTTAGATTTCATGAAGACTTCTCCTGGGGGCTCTTGTGGTCTAGACGTTTTGATGTTCGCCTCTCATTTAATACTATAACTGGCTAATGCTGATGAGATCGGCACCTTCTTTTCCTATATATGAAATTGGCAGTTTCCAAAAACGGTCTAAACGAACTTGGAAAAGATCGATGCAGAATGAAAACGCACTAATTTTTAAAAGAATGATCTCCTATAGTTACTAGAACTCTTTTTGAGCCAGAGGAATGAAAAAGATTGTCTGTTATTTTAGAATGGCCAGCAGCCGCGACTCTGCAAGCCAGTGGAAATGGCTTCGTCGGGTCTCGGTCGCTTCTGAAAACGGTGTTTGCGAACCCCGAAAACTCAGGCGCTGAACGGAAGTGCACCGATTTTAAAAAGAAGGACTTCCTGTAGTCATTAGAACTCTTTTGGGGCCAGAAGAACCCAAAAGATTGTCCGACGGAAAAGGTTCTTCGCTTAAAAGTGTTCTCCTTTCACCTCCTTTCCTGTTGTTTCTAATCATGTTCTGTCATCTGCTTTCGTCTCCACTTTCTGCCCCCTCCTCTGGGCTCCTGACTCTTTCTACTGCTACTCCTTGGCGCTTCATACTGCTGTCTTTCAGCCACACCCCTGATCTTTTGTAGGTGAGATCGAACACCTAGCCCTCTCAAATTTAAGGAAGGAAAAATCTTAAAGGTCCCGTGTGCTAGTTGCACGCGTTAAAGATCCCTTGGTGGTTTTTTTAATCTATAAGAGTAGACTTTGGCCGCCATGCAGGCAAAATTCATGATTAATCTCTACCAAACTGGAAAATGCTAAATACTTAATGTGTCCCATGGGATCATATGACCTTATGCAGTCACTTGTGCTGAAAAATTCTTGCAAGAAATGACAAAAAACCTCAGCTCAAATGAGTTTTTGCTCCTTTCATCTCTAAGTATAACTTAGTATAAGAACTAAGTCATGACTCATGAGGAGAATTGTAAATTGAAAGTTAAGATCTACTGTTGAACTTGTTCTAACAACCACCTCTCCGAGACAATCCCCTGTGCAAACAAACACTTCCCCATCCCCACCATTCCCCCACCCCCATACTCATTTTAGCCTTACTTTTATTGTTATGATGATCACATAGATTGCCTTCACAGAAGAGATCAATCATTCTTAAAGTGTTTGGGGATTTCTGATTAGAACTGATACATACCTGTAATTGAAAGGGCTATAAACAATTTATCGCAGCAGTATCCCTCCAAGAAATTCAGGAAATAACATGGGGAGAGCACTCTAATGCAATTTTCTAGCCACTCCATTCAAATCTTTTTAGGCCTCTTTCGTTGAATATGGTTTCATTGGTTTACCAATCCTATACAACTGATGAAATGGATTTGATGAAAAGACTGTTGAAGTAGAGATAATAATTCTGATGACATAATATTTTCTCAGGTGAAATAAGGGGATGTTTTCATTCTGATGATAACCACCATGGTCGGTGTGATACATTGTTTTCTCAGCCAAGAATGTCTACCTACAGTAGACAGATCTAGTAAAAAGTGATTGTATGGGTTTAACGCCCCTATTAGAATTTATTAAGTCATTTAATAGGTGAGACCTTCCAATTAAATATCAGTTTCTTATAGGAATGAGCCAAATGGGTCTAGATACTTGAAAACTCCACAAAATTATCCCAGTTCAAGAACGCCCAGTCTAGAATTTGAACCAGGGCTGTCTGCTCCGTAGTCTAGCATGGTACCAACTGAGGTAATCATGCACCCAACAAATCTAGATCTGGGAGAGGGTCATGTGGTGGTGAAAGAGGATGTGGTCATACGTGTGGTCAGTGAAGACAAACAATCGAAAGGATAAAAAAGAAACTGGTTAAACTGACTGGAGTGATAGCAATATCACTCATGATTTATTTGCTTCACCTTTTCCTGGTAATCTTGAAGTCTTTAGAGCCTGATTCCTCAGTATACGAATTTTAGCTTCAAAATTCCAAAATATGAGCAGGCAGGGCAAATCACAACTGGTTATTTTACTTAATAAATGGAAAGGGTAATTGATGTTTCAGTTCATGTTGACTGACGTTTGGAAGGTGCCGTAGGGAATTGTGTCCAATCCACTCAACCCCTGTAGCTTCCATGGCATTGTGTTCTGACCACTCAGCTTTTTCAATGTCCTTTTTGTGTAATAATGGAGTAAATTTGACAAATCTAAGTCCCATGCTCTATTTTCTACTTTTGCAGATTACAGCCTGCTTCAGTGGCAGAGGATAGCAGTGTCGAAAAGTATATCCAGGATTCAAGTTCTTATTCCACCTACCCAGCAGTCACCTCACCAGCAGTCACCTCGCCTGCAGTCACCTCTCCTGCAGTCACCTCACCAGCAGTCACCTCACCAGCAGTCACCTCACCTGCAGTCACCTCTCCTGCAGTCACCTCACCAGCAGTCACCTCTCCTGCAGTCACCTCTCCTGCAGTCACCTCACCTGCAGTCACCTCTCCTGCAGTCACCTCACCTGCAGTCACCTCACCTGCAGGCAAGAATGACTTTGTTTTTGAACAATTTGACAGAAGTGGATATGTCATTGTAACAGCAGACTCTTGTCAGCCCATGAAGGTAACTTTTGAGAAGAAAATACACTTTCAAATCATATTCGATTCTTTGAAAATGGCAGATAGCTTGGTAAGTGAACCGTCTAGTGAAGCGCCAGAGACTGAAGGTGGAGAGATGAGCTATGTCATTATTGAAAATGCTATATCTGGACTGGAGAGAGATCTAATAAGTGAAAGTGATCTGTTACATGTTGTTAATGTGCAGGATGAAGAGCTTCCCATAGAGGCCTCGTCTTCCGATCAAATCGAAAAAGAAAAAAGTTTAAGCAGGAAAAGGAAACGATCAAAAGTGATGGAAGAAGATGAGTGTTACTGTCATTACTGTGATTTACCGCTACGAAACAGGTCCAAGTATGTGAGCCATTTACAAAAAAAACACCCGAATCGGAGGGATAGCAAGAAGTTAATTAAGGAATTTTCAAAGGTTAAGAATGTAGAAGACAGTGATTCTAGTGACAGTGTGAGTAAAAGCATTGAGGATTTGTCCAAGGTTGATGAGACCGAAGTGTTAAAGTGTGGCCAGTGTGATGTCTCTTTCAGAACTCAATCTGGCTTTGATCGGCATCGCAAGTGGCATTTGAGAGAGGAGAATGGAGGAGAGATTCCTGTAGTGGACAAACAACATTTGATAGAAAAAGAAGAATCTGTAGCGGATGACAATAATCAGGGACTTGTTGAGTCAAGTGAGGAGGGACATTCAACAGAGGAAACTATATGTGAGATTCCCACTGCCAGATTTCCTTGTCGTTTCTGTCAGGAAATATTTCCCTCCATTTTGACACGTAGAAGCCACATTCAGGTTATGCATGAAGATGAACTGAAGTGCAAATATTGCGGCATTGTTTTTGTTACTGCTTACGAATGCCAAACACATTGTAAGACTCATGGACCTTTCTGCTTTTTGTGCAAAGAGTTGTTTTCTAACTGGAGTCACTTAAACATTCACTGGAGGGACAAACATTTAGATTCTGTGGATGCTGAAGGCAACAAAATATTTGAGGAATGTCCAAAATGCATTCTTGTATTTGCTGATAAAAAGAAACTTGTGAAACATTTGAAAAACCATGAACGACTTGAACAGAGGGAAAAATATGTCTGCCATGTATGTGCCAAAGTCATGCTATCTAAGCCTGCTTTTGATGCACATGTGCACAGCCATAGTACTGACAAAGGTATCACTGACCAGATGCCATGTGACCAGTGTGGCAAGATTTTTGCCAATAAACATGCCCTCAACAATCATCATGCGAAGCTGCACAGGGCAAGACCTTACAAATGTAAAGTTTGTAGCAAGGCTTTTGCTCTTTCCTTTCACTTGATACGTCATGAATACCAACACATTGCCGGCAGACCGCACCAGTGTTCTCTCTGTCAGAAATGTTTTTCATCGAGTTATAACCTAACGGTACACATGAGGACCCATACAAAGGAAAGACCATTTAGCTGCATCCATTGTTCACAACGTTTTAGCCATAAGTGTACATTACAGGGACATGTTGCTTTAAAGCATAAGTCAGATACACCTATCAGCTAATCCACTTAGCAATTCAGAGTAACTTTTTCGACGACCATGTCAGTACAGTTATATAAGGTCTGAATCCGTATTTATAACTGTTTTTGTAAGTTGTCCATTATCCCTGAGTGTTTAGTGTATGCCTTTGAACACAATGCCAAGAGTATCCCTGCAGTTGTTATTTTGCTCTAGTTAAGTGAAACATTGTTTAAAATTGTTCATGTTACATGCAGCATTCCAAATTTTTAAAAGGAATACCATGTATATACATACATATATAATCCTCACATAGATCCAATAAGACCCCCTCCCAACTCTGTTTCTGTAATCTAGATAGATAAAGATTTAGTCTGTTTTATCTTACCCTATTAGCGCCACTGTCACTGAATCAAGTCTAGGCTTACAGAATACCAAAATTAAATGTGTTGAAGTCTCAACACATCCCATACAATCTGGATCCAATGAATCACATAGCTCATAGCTCTAGAATTATGTAAACCCAATTCATTTAACAGAAATTTAGTTTTCTTATGGGGCTGTCATGATTTAGAGATATGGTGTTCTCTCATTGAAAAGATCCAGAGTTCGAAACCTGAGTGAGAGCTTTAAAAGTTTCCTTTTAAAAATGTTTCTCCTTTCCCCTCTTTCCTGTTCTCTAGTCCTGTTCTGTTATTTGCTTTCATCGTATATCGAAGCTGAAAATGCTCTAGTCGGTATAAAAATACACAGAGTATAAAGTGTCTTCGAAATCGGAATGAGGCTGCCTGAAAGCAAGGGGCCCTATGAAGAAGGAAAAAAGGTCACATAAGCCAAGCAAAAATGAGTTGCACTGCAGGTTGAAGAACCAGCAATTGACTACCTATGATTTAGCAGGGGAAAGCAAAGAAGAATATTGTTCGTATTCTTTTTTTTTTTTTAGAATATTTATTATGCTTAAGTACAAAATGTATACACTGGTATACTGTTGACAACACAGAGACAAAGTGACAAGATACTGTGAGAATCTAAGCCGGCTGAACAATCTCAACTCATCACAAAGATCTACTAGATCTCATAACCCCCATAATGGTCCCAAAATTAATTAACATGAACATAAATAGGAACATTATAGCTTGGATTCTTGAGTTCTTAACCGATCGACCTCAATATGTAAAATTAAATGGTGTAAAATCTTACCTCCTATTCATGAACACCGGTGCGCCCCAAGATTGTGTAATATCCCCTGTCTTGTTTACGCTTTACACCACTTTTGATAACAAAAACGTCAAACTAATAAAATTTGCGGATGATTCCATTCTACAAGGATTTATAACAACAAATGAGAATGAATACAGGGACGCTGTAAATGTATCTACAAATTGGTGTGACTACCACTTCCTTTTACTAAATATAAAAAAAACAAAGGAATTAATAATAGACTTCAGATATTTTTTAAACCAATTGCAACCAATATTTAAGATATGGAGGTGGTAAGCTCTTACAAGTATCTTGGAATAACAGTTGATAACCAGCTTGACTGGCTCTTGCGCATAAAAAAGTAAATCAAAGAAAGTTCCTTTTAAAGAAATTAAGAAGTTTTCGTGTCGATAATAAGATTATGTCCCTTTTATACCATTCTATGTTTGAAAGCATTGTATTATTTTGTATTTGCTCCTGGGCTGGGAATTGTAGGGTGAAAGAAAAAGAAAAATTCGACAGAACCATTAAGAAAGCAAGCAAGATCTCTGGATATGATTTTACTGGAATTTATGAAATGTATAACACCACAAGTATAAACTAAAAAGATAAAAAGCATTTATAAACGACCCATCATACCCCCTTTCCACGCAAATTGTAAGATCACACAGTGGCAGATATGTACCTCTAAAAACAAAGAAAAAAAGATATAAAAGAAGTTTTTTACCATCTAGCATAAGGCTATTGTCAGAATAACCATCAGTGTGTAGGCCTATTGCTCTTTCGAGTTTTAAATATTCATTTGACTGAAATTCTTGGGCATTTTAAAGTCTTTTTTTTTCCCGAATACCTGTTAAAGTTCATGATTTATACACTGATAATTATTACTGCACAGCTGCCAAGAGGGTGCAGTGTCTCTTGTGCAGTCAAAAATTTGTGGTGCAACTTATCCTCAAATATCTCTTTAATGGGTGAATCAATGTTATCCATACTTTGCTCAGCAGTTTGTATCAATATGTCTTAACTAAATCATATTTTTCTACTACAATTGAGGCTAGATTAAAAAACTGTTCTTCATAGATTTATATAAAATACTATAAATCTCCATCACGCTGAAAATGGGATTGTTCACAGCACTTCCTGCTTCTCACACACATTTTGCATACGCATAAATGGCCTACGTCACAGCTCACCAATGACACTTTTTGTTGGCCAAAGAAATGTTACAAGAAATCCATTACATAATGAACACATTTTTTGCACTAAAGATTCTCAAAACAAGCGTTCAATAAAGGTAGTGTCACGACTAGAAAAAAAATACGGACTTGCTTTTGAAAGCGACATTGCCCTAGCTGTAAACATTTTAAAATCTGTAGAAACCACCCACTTGGATTTTTTGTTAGCGTTTATTAAGGAATTTTCTAGAATACAGCTAATAATAGGTTTTACAAAAATACTGATCTGTTAGGACATATTGATACAAGTGATTGTGCAAAAGCTGGAGAGTCTGTGTTCGATAGTTTGGGAAATATTTGACAAAAAGTTGCGCCACGAATTTTTGACCACACTATAGTGTGTACCTCTGTTTACCAGTCTACATGGCAAATTTACATTAGCTTAGTAAGGTCTATACAACTGAGGCCGATAACAGATTTAAGGTGCAAATTCTGTATTTATTATGTTTTTAATGTTTTTAAGAATTATGTTTACACTGGCATTCCTTTTCGTCCATTGTCATTGATAAAACCTGATGGTAAGAAGAGGGACTGGCGGTGTGGTGGGATGTGACTTCAAAATTGTGTCCATTCACATTGGTAGATGTGTAGAGGTACATGATACAGTGTCTTTGTAGATGTATAGAGATGCATGATACAGTATCTTTATAGTTGTGTAGAGATACATGATACAGTATCTTTGTAGATGTGTAGAGATACATGATACAGTATCTTTGTAGATGTGTAGAGATACCCTCCCAGGGCAGTGCCACTGACTGAAGTGTCTGTAGGCCATTCCCAAAGGGGGGACACTTCTCGTTCTAATGCACAGTTGGATTGTAAATGGGCTGATCCAACTATGTCATGCTCATAACTATGCCTGAACTACAACAGGGAACTGCTGCTTTTTCTTTCCTAATCCTTGCTATCGTCATTTTCCTCTACTTCTTTTGTATGTTTGTCACACTCTTGTGACCCGCTATTTCCGGGGTGCCTTTACAGTCGAAGCAGACTTTGTGCTGTTGAAGCTAGAGAAGTGAGCAGAGTAAGTCTGATTCCCTGTAAGGACTTCCCTGTTTACATCCACCCCTTGACGCTCATATGACCTTATGCAGTTGCGAGCGCCATAAAACCTCTACTATAACTAAGTGCCAAGACACACAATAGCACCTTACAAAATCTGTCTACTATCAAATCATAGACCTTTCAAATGAAAAAAATTAGACATCTCTGTTTTTGTGCCTTTTGATTTAAGAATTGCTATGAAAGTATGAGTATGATGATATTTATTGTATGTACATGATGTAAACGTTCTCAAGAAAATAGACCTCAAACTGGTTGCGTGCAATTTTTAGCATGTTTTCGGCTATTAAAAATGTTTTTGCGAGTCATACCTTTTTATTTAGCATCTTAGTCTTAGCGAGTCTATAAAATAATAATGTAATTTTTATGATGTACAATTTGTGTGCTTAATTCAATAATCGATTGTTTAAATTTATGAATTTAGAATGGCTTGAACTTGGCGCTTCTTTTCAAATCGGATGTAGCCATAAACTAATAAAAATTTTAATCATCGTAACTTACTTGTTTGTTTGTGAATTTTCATAGCTTTTTGATCTTGTTCTAGTTTTTATTAACAGAAACAAAGTATGGTGGTCAAAAGTTGATTCCTTTGGCTTGTGATATCTTTATTGGCGTCTCTGGTATAGCTGTTAAGCACTTTGTCTTCACACAGGGGAGATATTTAACCCTAGATCTATCCGTACGTCGTGTTTTACTATCGTATCCATACGTATACGATGTGAGGAATTCTGTGCCACCACTTTCAAAGAGGAAATTTACTCGTTAATCCGATCCATAAGCTTTGCATAGCAGCCTGTCAAAATGATTTTTTGAAAAAAACTGAAAGTTTTAAATTTAGCTAAAGAGATCTTCATTCTAAAAGTACAATGTATTTTAAAATGTTAAGAATACAACCACGGGGGTACAAAATTACCCCAGGGCGTACGGATAGGGTTAAGCGATATTCCATCTTGATATTGTTATCCCAAGCTGATGCGGTTGGCAAATATCTTCCTGAAAAGATTTGCTGAGCAAAGTGCTTCGCGGAATGAAGGACAGGCAAAGAAAAAATTACGAACCTGTTATCCCGATCATGCAAACAGTAACCTTTTCAGAGAAAAGAGACGGCTTTTTTTTTATCAATAACTGATTGGGTTCAGTTACAAACACTCCATCCGAAAAGCGATATATATTTGTGTGTGTGTCAAATTAATTTTCTTTCATATATTTGTTAAAACGTAGATTGTGAACAACGTTTCTTGTATCCGTTGCAAGTGAAGTTCAAGAACAAAAGTTATCCCACTAGTGTGTTACGGTTTGTATTTCATGGTAAAACGCGAACGTCATTCATTTTTGTTGACGAATTGATACACTATGTCAGTGATTTGATCTTCCTTTGTTATTAGAGCCACTAAACTCTCCAAAAAAAGCAGCGACAACAAAAATGCATTGAATTTAAGTAAGGATCGCTGTCGGCCAGTCTAGTGAGTAGGCCAACAGTGCGAGAATGCTCCGTCGCCCGCTCCAGCGCACTTGTCTATCGCCGCTTTTCGCATTGATCCTTCGCAAACGTGGTCGGCCACCAATGACGGAGCCAACCGTCTGGGATGGGCCAGAACCTAGACGGTGGTAGACGGTTAGTAAGAACCTAGACGGTCAGAGAACGTATAGGCCAGAACCTATACGTTCTTACTGACCGTCTAGGCCAGAACTGAGAAGGCCAGACGCGGTATCTATTCGGAGACGGCTCCGACGGAAAAAGACGTATCAACATGCTTTGTGCCTCTAGACCAAGTAAAATAATCGAGGGGGTGTTCTTGAAATTAAATTATTGATTTTCGAATGTTTTAGTGGCTATATGTGTGATCTGCAGCAAATAAAATACGCAGTTTGACCCCCCAAAGCAGTGCATCTGTGTGCAGGAGTGTGTCTCCGAATAGTTCCTGGGTGCTCGCCGGACACGTCTCCGAATATCTCCTGCCTCTGAGAAGGCCTAGGGAATGGCCTAGATGGAAGGCTACGGTACCTCAGTGGCTCGTTGTGGTGTAAGTGGTCGTAGAATGCAGAATTTGGTCAAATGGCCTTGGTACACCAAGATCCCTTTAAAACTGTTATGGCCCATGGTCAGGCGCGGTTCGTCCATAGAGCACAGTCGTGCAGTGCTTTATTATGAAAAGTACTCGCAAAGATGAAATAAAAGAAGCCAGAAAGAAACACTAGCCCAATATTATATCAAAACAAGGACATCGCCGGAGCCGTCAAAAGCGCCGTAAAACATCTACTATGCCATGCCAAAGTCCACACGCTTTAACCAAACATAAAAGGATGTTTAACAGTGGTAACCTGACCTAATAAATCGCTCTTTGGGATAACCCAAGCGATGACGACACTCGTAGCGAGTTTGGCGGCACATTAATATATATTAATAAGACGGCACATCTCAAATGTGCACCCACGAAACATAGCCCACAGTAGGCAGTCTAAAAATAAACGCTAAGTACTGTACACTATGTTATGCCAAAATTACATGATCCCCGGAGCAATCCAGCAGAGTGCTCTAGTGAATTGTGATTGGTTCATTGTCTTGCCACTATGTTAAGCGATTTTGTGACCGTGAACCTGATGGAGGTAAACGTGACATACTTTAGTTAAGTCACCGTCCTATGGAGTTGTGCCTTTGAATGGTTTTGTAGTGGAGTAGTGAAAGTTATTAATTGAGTGTTTAGTTCCAATGCAGGATAAAGAAATTGATGTTTAGCTAACAAACAGATTTACATGTAGTTCTAGAAATCAAAGCGACAAGTAAAAAGAATGAAAACAAAAGCATAAGGTCCTCCTTCACCAACCGAAAGATCCTACCGTCCCATTTACTATGCCCTTGACTATCTTCAACCTGTTATAGCTTAATTGTGCACACCCACTTTTTAGCTCCACGAGCCGCCCCTGCTCATGGGCTCCATGTCGACCAGGTCAAACTATCCTCTGAATGCAAACTCAGTCGTCAGTATCGGTTTCACATCAACTCTTTTGGTCGTGGGACGTTTTCTCTTTTTCCGGCTTTCTTGGCACAATGACTTGAATAGCTCGAAATCATCTCTCAAAATATTTTAGCACACTTCACATTCACAGATAGTTCCTTCATCATT